GCCACCATGTAGCGGTGTGGCGGCATGCAGCCTGTCCAGTCTCGGGCCGTGAGCCTACCCAGTTCTATGAGGAGTGAAAGATGTCTCTCTACCTGCAAAACAATGTGAGAAAACAAAAAAGTAATATCCCTATGCTTCGCACTATTCCTCTCCGTCCAGGTGAACCAAAGGATCAGACAAGAATGAGGAAGCCCACGTGTCTAAAGTGTGTGCTCTGTGAGAAAAAAACTCAGGAGCTCAAAGAAACTGTCTGTGGTGGGTAGGGATAAATGGGTCCAAGTGTCAAAGTGCTCCCACACTCTCCTCGCAATCTCACTCTCTAGAAAAAGGTGGGTAAAGGTCTCGGTCTCATAGCCAGTCTCAGAACAACACACACACCGAGAGGGAGAAGGAGATCCCCCTCGCGTGTAACACAATATCCACAGGTATCCGGCGCAAGAGGAGGCGCCAAAGGAACACCGAAATGGTAGGGGTGAAAAGGTCGCTCCAGATGGCCCCGAAGAGAAGATTAGTCTGATCTGCTCCCAAGCCGAGGTAGTAAAAAACACACCCCATGATGTAAGTCTCCACCTCATGCCATCCGAACCGTCCCCCGAGATGGGAATCTGCTGGACCTGATCTAATAAATGCTCGCTAAAACCCGCACCAGAGCCCAACTCCCTATCAATCTTCCCCCTATCTCACGACTCGTCCGTCCAAAGGTCACTCACAAGCAAGTAGGGGGAATGCGTCACCTGCCTATCCCTAGACAACGGCCTATCACTAAACCACCACTCATCCCAGAAACTAACCTCGCCCTCGCCCAAAACTCAGAAGATGTGATCCTGGACGTGCCTACCAACCCTAGTGAGGCACCGTCAATGTCTGTTATCATGATCAAAAGCCGTAGGACAGTACTTGCCGCGAAGGTACTGAGCCAAAAGCGACTTTCCCTCCCTGAAGCGCTACCACAACTTGTAGGAGAAAGCGGTAATAATATCCTAAGGCGGCAGATGCCAAGGTCACCCTCAGAGAAAAGGCGGCAGATAGAGTCCCAACTTACCCAGTGGGTACGTCTTCCCCTCCCGGAACCGTCCTCGTAGCCCCAGAAATAACGAGCCATAATCTGATCAATCTCGTCAAGAGTAGACCTAATGGGGTCAAGGACCATAAACAAATGAAGCAGAAGGGAGCCAAGGGTGCTCTTGATCAGCGCAAGCCGACCACCGAAAGAAAGATGTCTATGTGACCAACCAGAAATCCTGTCGGTCATCCTCTGGCTGACGTCCGCAAAGAGCGCTCTCGTGAGATTGCCCTTATATAAAGGGACACCTATTGGGATCTATGAGGATCTCGTTATGTACAAGTCACGAATTCAATAGCAAACGTAAAACTATGCGCAGCGGATCTAGAGGTTTGACGTAGAGAACTTACGGCTTATAATTTATGTAGATCTGGTTGACCACAAATGGTTGACCACAAATCACGTCTTGGGTTGCACGAACAAGATCAGATCAAAATCGGATCAAACATATGCAAACAGATCAAAACGAAACTTTGCAGCCTGGGAGCTTCCGGCAGCGCGTGAGGGCGCGTGAGGCGCCGGAATTCGGCGATCTCGGCGGCGATGGAAAGCTCTCGTCGAGACGGTCGTCTGGGTATGTTGTGCGTCTCAGTCGGACTTCCGGTTAGTTTTGTAGGTCAAAATATATTTCGTCTCGGTTTACCTACAGATCTTCTACTATATTACTCAATACACCTTTCTTCTACTTGTATCAGTGGAGCAACAAGAAGAAGATAAAGCTCGAATGAGATCTAGAGAGAGAGAGGCGTGGGGGGTTATTCACGTGTGATTAGAAATTCTCTCCTTTTCTCATGAGCTTAATGATGTATATATAGAGCTACAGTAGGGACCCTTAGGGTATTAGGAAAAGGGCTCCTTAATTATATAGACTAACTGTGGGCCAAGCCCACTCCTCTAATTAATTAAATAATATTAATGGGCCACCAACATTATATTATTGCACTCCCTTTTTCCTAGCCTAAATTACATTTGAGACTCCAATAATAATTACTCGATTTACCTCCCCACGTTTAAGATATAATGTCCATTAATTAATTCGATTACTGACAATCAAGAATTAATTAATTTATTATTATTTTACCGAAGCTAGCGCTCGTTCATCACATTCTTATTATGCTGGAACTTAATCCACCTGCAGGGTTTAGCATAACAATCCTTCATTAACTCACTCCGGGGACATCATCAAACTAACGCACATGGTGACCGTAAATATCCTAACAGCACATCCTATATATAATAATATTACCCAAAACAGTAGGAATATTAATCCAATGAACTGAACCTCACCCATGTGAATCAAAGTAATATATATTATATATATCTACCTATTTAATATCTTACGGGTTAAGAGAACGCAGTAATTAACCGAGGCCTAGTTCATTTACGACGATCAGTATAAAATGAACTTCTCCTCTCTGGGATCCTGTTCAATACATAAATGTACTAGTGCAACTAATCAGTCAAGACAAACTGTACAGTTGACACTACAACCGTTCGGATGGGGTGTTCATGTCCATCTAGGTTGTGAACAACTATTCTTGTTTGCAAGTGTCTGATAGAGTGATCTTCGGTTCGCCCGATGACGACCCACCCTATCTAAGTGCAGAACAACAGAACGTAGAACTTGTTTAATCTAACATGATTCTCACTCATAAATGATAAATGTGTAATAACATGGAAAACGAAGCTTTCAGTATATAACACTAACAACACCAAGGTAGGTAATGGGAAAGTCGCCGCGCACAAAGCCAGTAATCTCGCGGACCCGCTGAGCCCACCTGTCCGCGTTGGAAGAGGAGAGGGTGAAGGTGCTCTTCTGCACACTGACCAGCTGGCCGGTAACCGAGCCATAGCGCTCCAGAAGGTGCATAAGCTCGACCAGTCCATCATCATCCGCCTGGGTGAAAATGATGATGTCATCCGCATAAGAGAGGTGCGAGATGGGAGGACCATAGCCATGGGTACTGTAGGTCATCTATGAGAGTCGCGGATGAAGCCGTCAAGGCAGCGAGAGAGGTAGTCTGCCGCAAGAACGAATTGGGAAGGGGAAAGGGGGTCGCCCTGTCTAAGGCCTCTAGAGGAGGGAAAAAACTCAGTGGGACTACCATAAACCAGGACCGAGAACGTGCAGTGTGCTCCACACACGCCTCCACAAAATTGATCCAACGCTCAGGAAACCCATCCTAGCCAGCGCCTCCCTCAGAAACGGCCACTCCACCCTATCATACGCCTTAGCCATGTCTAGCTTCAACACAATATTCGGTGCTCGCTTCCAATCCGACGGGAGATGTCATGGATCATCTCCTGGGCCAAAAGGATGTTATCACTAATGACTCGATCCTTGACGAAGCCACTCTGGTTCGGGAAGATGAGGGAGGGGAGAAGATGGGAAAGACGGCCGTTAAGAATCTTCGAAATGAGCTTGTTGGTCACGTTACACAGGCTGATGGGCCTGTAGTCGGACCAAGAGCTCGGATTGGGTCTTTTGGGGATCAAGACGGCAGAGGTAGACGTGAAGGAATCCGGCATTCGGTGACCGGAGAGAAAATCCAACATTGCCTCCTCGACGTCAGACTCAACTAAATCCCAGCAGACCTGGTAAAAGAGAGAAGAGAAACCATCCGGGCCAGAAACGCTGTTGGGGTCAATCCCGAAAACAGCATCCCTAACCTCCTCCCTACTCGGGAGCTCACAGAGGCCAACAAGATCGACCGAAGGAGGGATGGTGGGGAAGAAAGATGCGGTCAGGGCAACGAGGGACCCTCTGTCGGAGGTGAAGAGGGTCTGGAAGTGAGCAACAGCCGACTCCCGAATCTGAGACTCCTAGGTCAGGGATGACCCATCATCCTCGATACTATGGATATACGACTTAGGACGCTTCTGCCTAACGTAGCTCTGGAAGAATCTAGTGTTCCGCTCGCCCTTGGCCACCCAGCGAACGGCCGCCTTCTGCTTCCAGAAGTCCTCCTCCATAAAGAGTCGGAGCTGGTACTCGGCGTGGCAGCGGTGCATCGCAGTCCTATTCTCCGGAGTGGGGTCCAGGTCGTAGGCCCGCTCAGCCGCCGCGTGCGCACTCTGAGCTGCAGAAAGGCGCTGATGAAGGTTTCCAAAAACATCCCAATTCCACTGTCTCAACCTACGCCGCAGTCTGCCGAGCTTTGCCTTGAGATTGCGCATCCCGAAGAGCCCAGTCGGCTAAAGCCAGGAATCCCTGACAGTGTCGTGGAAGGAGTGGTGGCGAACCCACATGTTCTGGAACCTAAAGGAAGAGCGGCGGGGGGTGTTCGAAAATCGACACCGGATGAGAAGGGGTGAATGGTCAGATCCAACTCGAGTAAGGTGTGTGACGGTCGTAACCGCAATCTGTAGTTGCAAGGTTAGTTGTCTTTAATTATTCTTTCATACATGATGCATACTAAGGTCAACAGGTCAACGTCGGAAGTCAACAGTCAACGACGGAAGTCAACAGTTAACGTCGGAGTCAACAGTCAATGGTCATAATAATATTTAAATAATTAAAAATAAATAATTATTATTTAAATCAAGATCTAAATCTTGTGGCTAGGAATGAGTCTCACGTCCTCACTTTAAATAAACGGATGCATTGGAACCAATCCCTATATATTATATATACTTATATATATATATATATATATATATATGTATATATATAGAATTATCTTCACCGCACCTACCCCTCCCCCACCCTCATCGTCTTCCCCACCCACCCACGCACACACACATTGCACGACACACACACACATCTGCACACACACATAAACACACACACACACACACACACAAGCTCAAAGGAACTGTCGTCCAGCCGTCCACAGTACCGCCGTCGCCAAAAACATTGTCGGTCACCTCGACGCCGACAGCAGCCGCCGAAAGCAGTGGTCGATGCCAACATCCACGCAAGGCCATCGACCATGCCTCAGCCGACGTCACCTGCTCGGCTCAGTTGATTGCGCTCTGCCTCGCCGGAGAAGAAGACGTCCACTCCGCCAACCCTTGCGCCTGCCATGTCATCCACAGGCGGCGCCGGCGATGATGTCTGTTGTGCAGAGGCCACGCGGCTTTGTTATACCTGCTCGACCCGAACGTGAAGCTTTTTGTCAAGCTTCGGTCGAACGTAATTGAGGTCTGCCATTGAAAGAGCTACAGGAGCGTGCGGTGGTTGGGGGAGGAGAAATAAGGGGCGCTATGTGTTGAAAATTTGATAAATCATAGGGGTTCAATTGCAATTTTCTAAATTTTAATATATTTCAATTTAGTCTATGGTCAAATTTGTAATCAATTAAAATATAATTAATATTTGAATGTTTCTATTTATTGTTTAATATTATTCATTTTATATATGTATGACTAGAAGTAAATAACATTTATACACAAATATATAAAATATCAATACTAATAATAATAATAATAATAATAATAATAATAATAAATTTAAAATAATTCGCTTATTTGGTTAATTCGGTTACTTTAATAAATAAAACCGATATCGAAATGAAATAATTTATTTTTTAAAAATAAAAACCAGATAATTAACTTAAATATAAAATTCGGAACCGAAAAATTTAGTTTGGTATATATTGATCGATACGGTGCAATCTCATAGTCTTTAATGTGCAATGTGTCTAACACTATTGTGCACTCAAAAAACATATATATATATATATATATATATATATATATATATATTATGTTCGTATAATTCGGTTAGTTTGCTCATCTCGATTATTTGAAGAATAAAACCAACATTGAACTTAAATAACTGATAATCTAAATCGAAGAACATATTATAGAATCAAAATTTAAAAGGTCAAAAAGAATTTTAGTTCGGTCAGTTTCTGTCCATAATGTGCAATGTGATAGTCATTAATGTGCTATTCATCTACCAATATTGTGCGCTTACAATAAAAAAAATTACGACTTTTTCTCTCCCTTGACCCGACGAAAACCCTAGCTCCCGACATCCAATTTCGCTGCGATTAGCCTTCTCCGGCGAAGGGGCGGCTCAGGCCAGTGGTCACCCTCGACCGCTCGGCCGTCCCCGCCATCGCGCCTCTTTGGATTTTGCTGCTAAGGGTCGCTCTGATGTGTGCTCTGCCCAAGGTCGCCGGCAAGCTGTGACTGCGGTGGTGTTCGATCTGAGGCGGTTGGTTTTCTTGGAAGCCGGCAATCTTTGATTGGATGGTTAGTCACTCAATTACAGCGGGTCGATGCTTGGAGGTTCATCGGTTCAGGATGGGCTTCTGGGTTTGGATTTTGGGGCTCGAGCTCGCGATGGCAGCGGCCTGCGGTGGTGTTGAGAGGTGTATTGGTCGGCGGGCGGTTCGAGGCTCCGGCGGCCGTGATGTATTCCGTCCGGGTGCGGGTGTAGCAGGTACGGGTAGCTCTCTTTCCATCTGGTTCTCTGGTGTTGGGAAATTGGTGGGCTCGGCGCCTATTAGCTCGGCTAGTGGTGTTAGGCGAGCTAGTGCGGGGCTGTCGCAGGGAGCTGGTTGTCCTCTCGGTCGAAGGTGGGTTGATTCGGGTTAGTCTCGTGGTCCGGGTTTGGCTTTTGTATAGGCGTTCGGCAGCAGTTTCGGAAGTTGGGCCTCGGGCTTCGGACCTTTCTTGGATTGATTGGTTCTCTACTGGTTCAATCTGCTTTATTTGCTGGGAAAGGGCACTATGTGTCGTCTTTAGATGTTTTGTTGTTTTTTTAGTTTGTGTTTTTGTCTGTATTGTGTTGTCTGTGTTTGTGTTTTTGTATCTGTGTCCGTGTTGTTTTTGTGTTTTAGGTCTGGGTCACTTGGCCCCTGTGCGAGGGATTACTCCGTTGGAGTCGTCCCACATTACCTCGTTGGGGGTCGTTCCGCAGTTAGGTCGTTGGTGTTGTGTTATTGTGAGTTTCTTTTATAGCGTTGCTAGTCGTCTCTAGGCGGTCTTTTAGACCTGTCCTCCCAGTTTTATTCAGCTGTTGGCTGTATTATTCAGCCATGGGTTGTGTACTTTGCACATTTGTACGTTTTTGTTATATAATATTTTCTATCGTTTTTGTAAAGAAAAAAAAAAACAACACAAATATCCAGAATGATTGTCACAAACCAAACTAACATCGAACTTAAATGTTTGGTTTTTTTCGACCGGTTAATCATAGTACATTAAATAATTCAAATAATTTATTATGTATATTATTAAATACATTTAATATTTTAATATTCATGTTTATTATTTTTATAATGTTTATGGCTGAAAATATAATATAAGAAAATATCAAAATCTGAAAAGTGCAACCCATCCAGTAATAATGTGCAATTTATCTATCATTATTGTGCAATCTACTGATCGAGTAATTTTTTGTGTTTCAAATTTATAAATTACAAAATGCGTATTTCAGTTATCATTATTTTTGTATTTACCGATTTTTATATCATAAAATATATTTAGTATTTATATTTTTTATTTAATATTTTATATTATGGTTTGTTAATGAATAACTAATATATATATTTTTAGTTATATATATATATATATAACTAAAATTTTAAAAGTAAACAAGGGAAATCGAAATGACATAAAAATTCGCACAAAAAAATTAGTTCGTACGGTTTCAGTTGTTGTGCAATATAATTTATATTATTATTTTATTGAAATAAATAACATGTAATCCATGACATATAAAAAAAATTATTTTTTATATAGTCATGTGCACGAATTATGCACTAACGTGTTATCTCACATACATTAATGTGCACTTCAATTAACTGTAATGTGCATTCTACGTTATTGTATATTTTAATTTTCATTTTTATACTAAATGATGTGCATTTATTTTATAATAATTATTGGTTTATTAAATTTTTTATAAAATTACAGATCTGCCACTTGGACTAAATTGAAAATAATTAATATGTCTAGAATTGCACATAAGTCCTTTATAGTTATCAAATTTATAAAATCTGCCCCTATCCCTAAATCAATGAATTCAACCTATATCTATCCACAATTTTTGAAATTCGCTGTAAATTCTGCAATTCCAGTTCAACGGGCGGCGTCGACATCGACGATTCATTCAAGGTCACGAATTTGTTACGAAAATAAAAACAGAAAGAGGTAATTGGAGTGTTTTAGTAGCGGAGGTCGTGGTGGCGCCGGCGAAGGTAGAGGCGGCAGCGGCAGATGTCGAGGTATCGGGGTTTTTTGGCCGCAATGTGTGAGGAGGGATGCCGATGATGGCGACTGTGTCGCGATTAAGCATCGATCGTCGCGTTATAGGCGTGCCCGGCGGCGGTGTGAGGAGCCTGACGGAGGCGACGGGTGGTGGCTATGGCTGTCCGCCGCTGTGCGTGTGCGTGTGTGTACGGCACAGCGGACTCTGTGACGCGACGACGACTGACGAGCTGTGCATCTTGACGGCAGGCGGGTTGTAGTGGCGCGGCGGTGACGGTGGCTGGAAGCGGCAGACAGCGTGACTACGGCTGTGCGCCACTGTGTGTGTGTGTACATTCGGCGGGCTCTGTGATTGGACGGCGGCTGGCGGGTTGCGAGGCGCGGCGACGGCAGCAGTGGCTGGAGGCGGCAGACGGCGTGGAGTGAGTTATTTGGTGTGTGTGTGTGTGTGTGTGTGTGTGTGTGTGTGTGTGTGTTTTGTGTGTCTGTTAGTGTGTGAACTGTGTGTGAGAGAAAGGGTGTGGAGGAGAGGGATGGTTGAGGGTGACGGGTGGGGCAGGTTTTGAACATGTATTAATGTGTTGTGGGACTCATTTCTTTGAATATGGTGTAGAAAAATACTACAATGCCCTTAATGATGGTAAAATTTTGGCTTTTTTTGAACTGTTGGATTATTCAATCCTATGGCTGAGATCTATTCTCATTTCTTTCACTAGGCACCATTCTCGCTGGAACGTATCCCTATATATATATTTTATATATATATATATGGTTGGGTTCACATGAGAATGACTCTTAATGAAAGAAATGAGAATAAATCAGAGCCAATAGATCAGATGATCTAATGGCTATAAAATATACCCTCATTAAGGGTAATGTAGTATTTTTACACACTCAAACAACCTCATTGAGAATGATATGGTATTTTTACACAATCAACCAGTGGGCCCATAGACCACCTCACCTATCTCTCTCATTACCCCTCTCTCTCTCACATACACACGCACATGCCACATCACCCATCAACACACACAAAACACACGCCACACACACACAACACACGCACACAGACGCAAAACACACCCCACACACGCACCAGCACACAAAAAACACATACACACACATATCCCAGAACACATACACACACATTGAATACGCATCACAGAACACACACTCACCCCGTCGGCCTCAGCCACATTACAGCCTCCCGCCTCCGCCTCTGCCTCCACCTCCGCCGTCGCCGACCACTCGCCGACCGCCGACCTCTGCCTCTGTTTTCGACAGTCCGTTCCTTCCCCGCCGGTCTGGGCATCGGAACCACCGACTCCGCGCCCGCCTCCGCCGTCGCAGACCACCAGCTGACCGTGGGCCTCCGCCATGCACAGCCACAGGCACCGCCTCTGCCTCCGCCTCAGTTTTCGCCATCGCCGACCACTTCTCTCTCGCCGGACTACCATCTCGCGATGAACGGCCGTCCATTTCTGTGCCGCCATTCTCAGCAAGGTCGCCGTTCTCCGCAAGGACGCCGTTCTCAGCCTCCCGCCGACCTCATCCAGGCTACCGTTCACGCCGTCCGAACATTACTATCTCGTCGGAGACACACACAACAAAGACATAGGCTGAAAACGGCCTGTCAGCAACGCCGGGAAGGTCGCCGGCCGCCGCGACGGAGGCTCTGCGTTTTGGAATTATTTGTGGGAATTTGGCCAGATCTGACTTGTGGTTGGGAATTATTTGTGGGAATTTGATAAGATACAAGGACCTTATTGCAATTTTAAGAATTTTATTTATATTTCAATTTAGTACATGGCCAAATCTATAATTTTTAAAAACTTTACAAAAGATGATATTATTTATATAGTTTTTAAACATATTTACTACAAAAAATAAATGATGAAAAACATTAAGTAAATTAATATAAAATATTAAATGATATAAAATAAAAAATAACTAAAAATAATGAGTTAATAAATAAATTTTCATAACCTAAATAATAATTTATTTTGATTATTTAGGATAAATTTAGTTTGAATTTGCACATAAAAATAACACAATGCAAAATGCACAATATTGTTAAAAAGGACACACATTAGTGATCATCGGATGCACAATATTGTTAATGATTACAGTAGTTCGACTTGCACACTACCGCGTTGCACTTTATAAAACAACGTATTGCACTTTACAAAACAATATGTTGCACTTTATTACGATTATCAGATTGCACATTAGAGATCGAAACCGACCGAACTCAATTTTATTTAACAAAAAATTTGTTTTGTCTAGATAATTCGGTTCAATTTCAATTTGTTTTTGAAAGAAAAGCTCAGTCGGTACACAATGCACAATATTGACCGAAGAAGTGCACGATAGTGTTAGGTAAGTTGCACATTAATGTAATAATAAATTATAAATTATTTCAATTATTTAGATTAATTCTATGTACAATTTTATCTAATAAATATAGTTTTAAAAAACACGTAATTTATACGTGGTCATATAAGAATTGCACTTTATATATCAGCACGATGTACTTTATAACAAAAATTGTTGCACCGTATAAACAAATCGTTTCACTCTATCACCATGCTATACAATTAATGTCAATATCTCCGCCGAAATAACACACAACATTAAAACATCATGTTGCACTTTATAAAACATCACGTTGCACTTTATAAAACAACACGTTGCACTTTATCGCGACTATCGGGTTGCACAACAGAGATCGCAACCGACCAAATTCAATTTTTTGTTGTTAATCAGAAATACCATAAAAGTAATAAATTAAATTATATCATATTAAATATATTAGTGATATAACTAAAAAAAATGACTATTTAAAATAATTCGATTAACCGAACCGAATAAATCAATTAATTATGTTCAAATTCAATATTTTTAAGAAAAAAAAAACGTTTGATTCAATATGCACAATACATACCAACATCGTGTACCATAATGTTGGACGAATTGCACCTTAATAACTGTTATATTGACATAATATCTCGTTTACATATATACTGTTTTTTAATCAAAAGATAAAAATAAAATATTAATAAAACAATATTAAAAACTAAAAATAATTTTACAATAAATAATATAATTCTTTATGTTAATTTTGTTATTTCGTTTAACCGACAAATTAAACCGATTGTCACGTAATAATGTGTAATTTATGTAGCATTATAGTGCATTAATTAAACTTTCACCATATTACACATTTACCCCATGTATTAAATTGAAATAAACTAAACTTAGAAAAATTACAGATGAACCCCTAAAACATATCAAATTTTCAGAAGGCAACCCACAAGTCCAAACACAGCAACCTCCATCCACCTCTGCTGCTTGAGTTCAATCGGAAGTTAAGTTCGCTGTCTCTATGGTCACCCGCCGTCGGAGATCTACGCCGGAGAGCAGAATCTCGCCGGACGTGGCAGTGAGGACTCGAAACTCAACATCCCAATGGAGCATGTTGTGAGCGGCGACGGCGGCGGGCTATGTCAGAAGCTTCGCTGGTGATGGCGGCGATGGAATCGCTTGGCTTTGCCGGCAGCGATTTGGTGGTTGCTAGAGGACTCCGGCGTGAAGCTTGGGGCGATGCCTAACTACGGACGTCTCCGGTGGCCACGACGGGTGGCAACGGTGGTGTTTTTGAGGGTTGCCATTCCTGTGGTAGACGGCGGCGCGGTGGGCTGGTGGTGTTGTTTTGGCCAGAAGTGTGAGTAGGTTCCGCCGTGGAGCTTGGTCGATTGTTAATGGGGGGCGTCTCCGGGAGCCGTGATGGACAGCAGCGGCGGTGTTGCGGGTGTCGATGGCAGACGGTGGCGCGGTGGTCGGTCTTGGATTTTGTGGCCAGATCCAGTGCGTGTGTGTGTCTGTTAGATGAGTGTGTGTTTTCTGTGTGTGTGTGAGAGAAACAATGGCTGCACGTGAGTTTTTTATTTTCAAGAGAGATGAAGTGTGATTGGTTGGGGTAGTTACATGTAATTACTTGTAAAGACTAAATTACCCTTAATGAGTGTCAAATATCTAAATTACCCTTAATGAGTTTGACTATAATTACTAACTTTGACTTCATCATGATCATTGATAAGTTGGGTCTAATGGTGTACAGTCATTCTTATTTCTTTCACTATCACTCTTTCTCATTTGATCTCTTCTATATATATATATATATATATATATATATATATGGGGTAAATTTGTAGATTGTAAGATGGGTACATAACATTATAAAGATATGGGGTAAATTTGTAAATTTATTATTTTATCATATTTCTAGTCTATGGAAATAAATGTCAAACACATGAAAATTAATAAAATTCTATCTTGAAGCAGTCATTCCCAACAAACGTATATGCCACACGATCTCTACATTGCAATCTTGAACCACAAAATAAAATTTGTTCAATCTAATTCAGTCTAACAGACATGTTAGAGGATGAAGATAAAAATTAAAACATTCTCTAATAATTAATGGTATATCAGATTAAACATTATAAGGTGTACGAGCCTTAAAAGCCCGACCCTCACCCTCACCCCCAATTAAATTAGCACCATAATAAATTTGAAAGCTACCTTTCCTCTTCCTCCTTCAATGTTTCGACCTAAATGCCACCAGCAGAATGTCACCTACTAAATGAAAAATATACAATAACATATATTAATGTTGCGTTTTTGCAATTTATCACTAACAAAATACAGCGGCGACCACGGATAAGAGCGGCTTGGATATAGAAATTTTCTAAACCAAGTTTAAGATTGGAGATTATTAAGTCAAACCAAAAATCAAAGTGGACCGTGCGCTATATAATTTATTTTTATATTTTTCGATATATTCATTTGAAGACTTAAAAGTTATTGGGACAGTTCAAATTGTATTGAAAATACGAAAATTTCNTAAATCAATTAGTCTGGCTATTGAATCGATTATATTTTCATATTGCAACATGAATGTACTTTTGTTCTTATTAAAGATAATGTTACGGAATTAACCTCAAAAATTAAAAAAGACAAAATACAAATGGACAAGCGTTTTAGTTAAAGAATTAAATTTTGCAAACTAGTAGCGGAAATCTAAATTTCTAATAACATTTAATATAGTGTTAGATTACTTTTTTAATTTTATTATTTTAACAATAGTTTGAGATAAAATTATAAAAATAATATAACCTATTATGTAACTAAAACTTTAGAAAATTATAAATTTAAATAATAGTATTACAAAGTATCAAATTTGTTTGAAAGTTTAGTCACTATTAACTATTGTAGCTTTAAGAATTTGGAAAAATTCAAATAAGCAAAAACAAAGATGAACATAAAATAAAAGAAATAAACATATGTAAAGTTATATGTTGTAGCAAATTATATTTTTATCGAGTACGAGATGAATCCAGACATCGAACCATCTCTAGAGTAAGGCAGTTTGAAATTTTGAATTGGTGTCAATAACATACGAACAGAAAATAAATCCTAACATTCTAATCATGACTGAAGTTTGATTGAATTATCTAAAGACTACTAAAATAATTAAATAATAATAAAATAACTAGAGAAACAACAGAAGTTCTAGGTGACGGGAAATCTCATCAACTCCTAAACTATTTTGAATGCTTATATGTTCGGTTACTTGATTCAACAAGCCTACACGTCTGGAGGTTTATTCTCAATAACAATTCGTAACCAGAGCACACACATAAACGACAAACTCGTTCAATTAAAATAACACATAGACAATACTTTTACGAACAAGCTTACCCTATGCACGTCATGGTCGAATAATTTATCCCCTTCCGGTTCTTAAATTATTTAAATGAACTAGACGTTAATCAATCAACTAATGCTATTATTCAATGAACGTGCAAAAGTTGAACAATCACTCATTCAATACAATTCGAGACAAGAATCAAATTCCCTAGCCGTAAGTGGATGACCTCATGTTTGAATTCAAATTCATGATAATCCAATGTAAGAAAAAGAACATCAAATAACACAATAA